GAACCAGAGGTGTGTATGATGAGAAAAGATCAAACCTCAAAAGAGAACCACAGTGCAGCCCAGGAGGGTTCAGGAGCCGGGTCAGGGGGTCTGTGGCATAGCGCACACCATTCACAGAGCCGTGCCTGGCAGCCCACTGGGACGTGACAGAAAGGGATGAGGACCACAGGATATCAAGTGACCGATCACCAGGTGACGTGAGCCAAGCAGCGACCCGTTGTTAGACAGAAGTGGTACATCTAGGAACCGGCACGGCGGGGCCAGAGGATGAGTAAGCCTCAGGAACAGGTGGTCCCGGTCCCCTGGCACCCACCACCGCTGCATCGGTGCCTTCCTCTGCTCACACCTGCGGCCACAAGGCTGGGACCTTTTGTGACCAGCTGATGAAGAATGAGAGAGACTAAGCTTGGTCCTCGGATGGACTGGCTCAGTATATGGTATAAGAAGAAAGTGAGGGCCGGGCGCGGTGGCTCACGCCTGTAATCCTAGCTCTCTGGTTGCTCAAGATCAGGAGTTCGAAACCAGCCTGAGCAAGAGCAAGACCCTTTCTTTACTAAAAAAAAAAATAGAAAGAAATGAACAGGACAACTAAAAGTATATATATATAAAATTAGCTGGGCATGGTGGCACATGCCTGTGATTAGAGCAGTCAGGTGGCAGGACGAAGGTCACTCATGGGGCCCAACAGCACAAACTCCGGGTCACCAAAGCCGATCTCGCCAGCGCCACTGCTGAGGCTCAAACATGCCAGCCAGAGCCACCATCCCCTGAGAAGACCAACCTGCCACTTGGGGGCAAGCTAATGACACTGGATCCCTTCCACCCTAGAAGGGGCAAGGATTCTTCTTGACTGGGGTAACCGGGCCACGGGTTTACCTTTCCGGTTTACCACGGGTCTACCGCCTGAGGGATTACAGAACTCTGACCACCAGCAAAGGAACCTGTGAGGGCCACACTTTTTAGCAAAGGAAGTGCCACCGTAGGCATATGATTTTGGGGTCCATTGCTCCCATTCCAAACCCCACTATCCAGAAGGTTCTGGCCCAATAGAGCAGTGAAATGGCTTCTTAGAGATGCAGCTCAGGCCACAGCTAGGCATGGAAACTTCCAGAATAGAGTCCGCTCACCAGCTACGCAGCATGCACGGCAGATCCACCATCACTACATAGTGTTGGGTCCCCCGGTGCGGAGAAAAATGAATCTGGGAACAAAGGAGCAAATGCCAGAATGGCGTTGCTTCCCATCGTGCCTGCCGACCACCTTAGAAATCGGTTCTTCTTACCCCAAATTTAGACTTTGCAGAGCGAGAAGCCCTGATCCCTCTCCAGAGAAAGATCCTTCCTACCCAGAGCGCAGCGAGAACCCCATCGAAGCCGCAGTGTGACTGCCACCCAGCCACTGTCCCTTCTGCCGAGGGACCGAGCACACAAGGAGAGGAGCCCACAACCCCAGTCGCCGGGGGACGTGGGGCTGCTGCACAGAGCAGGCAGGGAGGGACAGGCTTAGCACCCACGTGACCCACTGGGGCATCTTCAGCGACTTTGTTGACCAGTTTAAATGAAAGAGCGAGAGCAGAGAGCAGCCATAGCCCAAGAGGGTCATGGTTACAAGGGCTTCGGACAGCACGGGGAGGAGGGTCTGGGTCACCTGCATCACACAAGCCACCTAAGCCAGCCCTGGAGTTCAAGGTCACAGTGAGCGATGATGGTGCTAGTGGGCTCCAGCCTGGGCGGCAGAGCAAGACCCTGTCCCTTAAAACAAACAAACGAAACCCGGGAGAAACATCAACGCCAACCTGATTCAAGGGTTAGAATCAGGAAGCTGTAATAGTGGCAGTGGTGGGGACTAATGTCTTCCATTTGTCTCCACAACTCTACTCTTCCCATTCCTCCACCCTGCTCTGGAGCCCAGGCAGAAGGCAGAGGTCAGGGTACCTATGTCCCAGTCTTCCTCCCTCTAGGGCCACCATACCTGGTCTGTTTCCTCCCCCTACCCACCTGACCCTCCTCCCAGGCCAGGCAACCACACCCTCAACCCTCTCCCCTTCCCTTAGCCCCGCCCCCAGGGGTGATGCCCCTCCCCCAGGGGTGATGCCCCTCCCCCATGCTGGCCCCAGGGCCTTGTGCTGGCCCTTGTCCTTTTCTTTCACCATCCAATCCCTTAGTAAATCCACCCTACCTCCAATTATCCTAAATTGATTGGGCCATCTGTTTCCTGCTGGGCCCTAACTGATAGACTATAATTAAAGATGTGGAGAATGCAAATGAGAGATAATGGTAAGACATTAAAAGCAGGCTACCAAACTGTATACAGCATGGTTCCAATTTGGGTGAAATTGCTCATAGAAAGGGGCAGGGTGGGGGGAAGGAGGAACAATTACAAATTGTTAAAAAAATTTTTTTTTTTTTTTTACCTCCATGAGGCGGGCTTAAAGATTCACTTTAACTCTCCAAGTTGTATGTTTTCGTATTGATGGAATCTTCATGAGGAATAAGTGTTACGTTGGTAATCAGAAAACATACGCAGATGGCTGGGCATGGTGGCTCACGCCTGTAATCCTAGCTCTCTGGGAGGCCGAGGCGGGTGGATTGTTTGAGCTCAGGAGTTCAAGACCAGCCTGAGCAAGAGCGAGACCCCGTCTCTACTATAAATAGAAAGAAATTAGCTGGACAACTAAAAATATACGTAGAAAAAAATTAGCCGAGCATGGTGGCGCATGCCTGAAGTCCCAGGTACTCGGGAGGCTGAGGCAGGAGGATTGCTTGAGCCCAGGAGTTTGAGGTTGCTGTGAGCTAGGCTGACGCCACGGCACTCTAGCAGGGCAACAGAGTGAGGCTCTGTCTCAAAAACAAACAAAAAAGAAAACATATACACAAATAAATACATGAAAAATTGCTATACATTGGGAAAAATTGTTCCAGATAAGGGGTGAGAGCAGGGAGGTGAAGTTATAGGTGGTTTTTTTCTCTTGCATGCTTTTCTGTATTTTCCAAACTTTATCCAATGAACATGAATGGCTAATTCTATCAGAAAAAAGGTGGATTTTATTTTTAAAATGGGTATGAGGCCAGGTGCGGTGGCTCACGCCTGTAATCCTAGCACTCTGGGAGGCCGAGGTGGGCGGATTGCTCGAGGTCAGGAGTTCAAAACCAGCCTGAGCAAGAGCGAGACCCCATCTCTACTATAAATAGAAATAAATTAATTGGCGAGCTAGGCTGACGCCACGGCACTCACTCTAGCCTGGGCAACAAAGCGAGACTCTGTCTCAAAAAATAAAAATAAATTAAATAAAATGGGTATGATAGAGAGTAAACACTATAAAAGGGCAGATTATTGTTACAGAACACAGATAAGGACAACCAGGATGAGATTAACAAAGAAAAAGGAAGCAGAGAGTAGAGGCGGGGACAGAGATGGCATTTGGTAGCTGGGGGTTCGAGCCCAGCCACCCTGGCCCAGGCCCGCCGGCTGGTAAACTCCTCCCAGCGGCGGATCCCAGCGGCGTGGGACCCGGGCTGACGTGCGGAAAGCCACCAAGGGCCACCCGGGCACGGCCGCCCGAGGTGGACACCGCTCGAGGGGCAGCGCGGGGCACGTCCTACCGGCCCGCCGGCTGGTAAACTCCTCCCAGCGGCGGATCCCAGCGGCGTGGGACCCGGGCTGACGTGCGGAAAGCCACCAAGGGCCACCCGGGCACGGCCGCCCGAGGTGGACACCGCTCGAGGGGCAGCGCGGGGCACGTCCTACCGCAGCACGAGGCACTGAGGGTTGGCGGCAGGCGAGGAGGGAGGGGAGAGGGGCTGAGCGGAGGAGCGGGTCCGGGTCCACGCGGTCTCCCCGCTGCGGGTGACGCCCCTCTCTTTAGCCTCCCTGACGTCCCTTGCCTCCGGCGGGAGCACAGATGGGGACGAGTGGCGGAGCCGCGGGGCTGCGGGTCGGGGGCAGGGCGGGTGTGGTCTCACTGCGGTCCGCTGGCCCCCCCGCGCGCTGGCTGGGACGGTCGGCTGGGCGGACTCAGCTCCAAGTGTGGACACAGGGCTTTGCCGGGGGAGCGCAGGGTGCGTTTCAGTTCCATCACGCCTTCCGAGAGCTCCCTGGTTCAGTGCGCGCTGTGCACGACCGTACGCGCGCACCGCTGTCGTTCCACGCCCAGGCACTCCAGACGGCCCAGCGATCAGAGGCCCTGGCGAGGAGGGCCCGCCTCGCCCGGCCCCGCAGGAGCGGGGGACGCCGCGCAACTGCTCCATCCGCACGGGGAGGGACGCATTCCAGCCCTCGGGCCCGGCGCGGGGAAGCGCGGCCCCGGGCGCGGCCGGTCCCCAGCCCCGCAGGCCGTGCTTGCCGGGCAGCCTGCACAGCCCCAAGCTGCTCCCGGCACTGGCCCTTCCTGGAGCCGCTGGTGTCACGGAGCGTGAGTGACAGCCGCACCTGCTCCGCTTGAACCCCGCCAGGGTGGCCTGCGCCCCCGGGCTCGTAGCGAGCCCCATCGCGTCGCGACCTGTCCCGCTCAGCGGAGAAACCCGTCCAGATCCGATTCGCGTCCTCTCCGTGTCCCGATCCAGGCTTGGGTCTGCTGCTGGGGGTGGGGGGCGGGGTCACTGGCAGGTTAAGAGGTGAGGCCCCCTTCGTCGCATTCTTCATGGACCTCGTGTCCCCCTCCAGCTGCAGCTGCTCCGGCCAGACTCCCTGAAAGAAATCCCGGCCCGCCACGGAGGAGGCGTCACCAGACCAGGCGGTACAGGGGTGAGACCGCAGGGAGGACCCGGTGAGGACGAAATGGGTGGCTCTGAGTTTGGGAGCCGCCGGGGACCAGAGCGGAGCTTCTTGGGAAGGAAAGTCCTGGCTCAGCCTGCCCGGAAGCCACGGTCAAGTTCAACCTCCTGCAACTGCTCTCCTGGGACCTGACCACGCCCTGCTCTGGCGGGATCCGAAACTCTCACGCCATTGGCTGCCCGGCTGGTCCTCTGTTGCCCCATTGGACCAGGCGAGTCTCTCAGCCAATGGGCGCTGAGGTCCTGGAGGCGCCTTGTCGCCGCCACTGGGCGGACTTCAACCCAGGTGCAAGAGGTCAGGAATTCAGGTATTCTCCGCCCCCTCCCCCCCAGGATGAGAACCCAGTTCCTCAAGAAGCAGCTTGACATGTCCAGGTGGTGCTTTGTCCCAAGCTCTTCCAGGGGCTGGCCTGGCCAGAGACGTGAGCTTTGGGAACACTGCCTCGTCCCCAGGGACCAGGGATCAATTCTTCATTCTGTGATCACCAAGACAAACACACTTCTCCCAGGTTCCAAGCCCTGATTTGAACCTTCAACGCCAGCCTGGAGACTCTGGGATCTATGAACCTGGGACTCTGGGATCCCCATGTGAGGGGCGCCATTACCCAAGTGATTTGGTAGTGAAAGGCCCCAAATCCTAAAGTTACTGTCGCTTTGGGGATTCTATCACATGCGTGTCGTTTGCATTTGTGAAATCCCTGTGAGCATTTGCTATAGTGTCGCCTGCTTTTAAGTTATCAGTGTTTCGGTTGCATTGGTTGTTTTCTGTATGATCATTGCCGGAATCCGATGACTTCAATTTCAATTCTGACCCTGCCATTTAATTATAGTGTCATCGTCTGAGGCTGCGTGTTCCCCCCCTATGCAGCGGCATGTTATATTTCTCTTGCAAAGGAGTAATGTACATTGCTTGTGTTTATAAACCTTCCAGCGGAGGTCAGATTACGGCCTTAACAACCAGCCTCCTTTAAATAATCTACACAAACAACTGTATTGTTATATTGTGTCCAGATCTGGGGGCTGGCAGCCTGTGTTGCTGACTGCACCCCTCCTTCCTGAGGTCCCACAGCTAGTGAGGGACAGAACCAGGTTGGAAGCCCAGACCCTTCGGCACCAGAACCCATGCTCTCCGCCCCACGCCTCAACTTCCTTTCTCAGAAAAACAGCTCCGAAGTTTAGGAATTCCAAGCAGTGTGCTGTGTGCAGAATTCGTTGTTGGTGCAATATCTGCTACCCCCCTGCCTTGGACAGAGAGTGACCGACATACTGGCAGGTGACTTGTGCACACCCTGCTCTTGGTTTTTCATGCATCAGAACTCAAGGCTTTTTCCAACTGTCCAGGCTCCCCCTGGAATTATGAGAGAAGGAAGGGGTTGAGGGTGGAAGTCAAGTGTCAAAAGGGACTCAGCACCTTCCCTCCCAGAAATCCATCACCTCTGGGCCCAGAGATCTAGGTGCCCAGGACGCTGGAGAGTACAGTGGTTACCCTCAAGGGGGCAGGCAAAACTTGGTTAGACTCCTCCCTCACTATTTATTTGCTGTGTGACCTGGGGCAAATGTCTTAACCTCTCTGAGCTCCTGCTGTTCACTACTTATTGTAAAGGTAGGCAAACCACACTATGCCCTTGTTATCTTGGGTATCCAATGCTACCTTGAGACAAAGCCTCCATGACAGGGCTGGACACGAAAGTGCTCAACAAAAGGGATGTCTCTGCCTTTAGTTTGCACTTATCGTAACCTTGGCCTGGAAGCTCTTCCCCAAGACTTCACAGGGCTCCCTCCTTCACTTCCTTTTGCTCTTTGCTCACATGTCTAGTAAAAGGCTCCATAGTTGTTGTTTTGTGGGGTTTTTCCCCCAATGCTCTCTGCAGACGCAAAGTGGAAGCTGAATAAATACTTGTGGAATGAATGGAGGCCATTGTCACCAATGGATGTGATGGCCCGAACCTCCTTGGTGACACCTCAGTTCTCGTGCAGAGCCTCATATTCCTGGGTCCTTCCTTGCTTGGACAATTAAAACATATCGTCCATGCCTAAATTTCATGCTTTCTGTCTCCGTAACAGGTGGGGAAAGGTAGGGAGCGGTGGGCCCTCTCGATTCCCGGGTGACCTGTCCACCTGACCCTCTCTCCCCGCCAGCAGCCCCCTCCTGGGGTTTCCTCCTCATCCCCAAACAGCGTCCCCGTGGGACGCTCCAGCGCCTCCTAGGGGTGCCCTTCCCCCTCCGGGTGCACCGCGACATTCTGCAGAACGGCGGGTCACCGGCCCCCTCTCCTCCCCAACCCTGGATCCCGCCCGGTCAGGGCGCCGTCACCCCTCCCTGTAGGGCTGGAGCTGCCAGCGCTGAGGATTCCTCTTGGGGACCGACTTCACGTGGGTGACCCAGTCCCTGTCAGTTTCTCTTTCCCTCCGGCTGCTCACCTGGCTGTGTCCCGCCCCGCTCTGGGCTTCCCCGGCCCGGGGCTCCCCTGGCGGCCAGTGTCAACTTCTGAAGGGTTTTCACTTTTCCTACGTCAGCTGGGACCGCCCCTTTGCGGCCGGCTAAAAGCTGCACGATGGCGCTCAGGCGGGAACTGCACCGCGCACGTGGCGGGAGCCGCAGGGACAGCGCCCCCCACACGGCAGCAGGCTGGGACCCAGGAGAGGACACTGAGCCCAGAGAATCCAAACGAGACCCAGTGACAGACCCCAGGTGACAGCCTGAGTGGACATTAGGGTGCCCCATCTGCTGAGAAGACCAGAGACCTGAAGACCAGAGACCAGAAATGAAATTGGGTGAGTGCCACATGGCTGTCCATGGTGGTCACCTCCCTGCAGCCCGCAGCCCCAGCCCAGCGCTGTCCACCTCTGAGTGTCCTTCCCTTCCCAATCAGACGTGGCCGTGGGCTGCACACCAGTGCTGCTGCTGGTGGCCGTGGCACTGACCAGGACTGGAGCGGCTCCTGTCACCAGGCACCTCAGGGCCCTCTCGGATGCAAGGGGCTGCCACATAGCCCAGTTCAAGTCCCTGTCCCCAAAGGAGCTACAGGCCTTCAAGACGGCCAAAGACACCTTAGTGAGTCTCCCTGCTGTCCCTGCTGTGGGGACTGGCCTCCACCCCTCCATCTAGGGTCCCCATGCTGGCTCTACACGCTGAAAGGGGGCCTCCACCCTTCCTTCCCGGGCTGTCCCTGGGTCCCGGCAGTGGGCTGGCCCCAGCTCTGGCTGCCCCGGAGGTGCCTCTGCTGTCCTCCTGGGAGGGAACCTCCACTGTCCCCTTCTCAGCCATCTGCCACCCCACCAGCCTGGTCCAGCCTCCAGCCTCCTGCTGGGCTGACCAGGACCTTGCTCCCTAGGAAGAGGCCCTCCCGCTGAGGGACCGCAGGTGCGGCTCCCGCCCCTTCCCCAGGCCCTGGAGCCTGAGGCGGCTGCAGGTGAGTGGGCAGAGGCGGGAGCAGCCCTGCCCTCCCCCACCCGCTCTTCTGGCTGTGACATTGGTCCTGTCACCTCCTCCTCTGGCCTGGCCCTCTCTGTCCCCCACAACCTGTGCCTCCTCACCCCCCTACCTGGCCACGTGGGCTGTGCCCTGTCACCTGTCCCCCACCTGTCACCTTCTCCAGTTCCCCTCCCCCCACCCGTTCTGTCTCACGTGGTGTCTCTCCTGTCTTCCGCCTCTGTCCTCAGGACTGGGAGCGCCCGGTGGCCCTGGAGGCCGAGCTGGCCCTGACGCTGAAGGTCCTGGGGGCCGTGGCCAACAGGACCCTGGGGGACGTCCTGGACCGGCCCCTTCGCACCCTGAGCTACCTCCGGTCCCAGCTCCAGGCCTGCGTGAGTGCCCGGGCCCCCGGTCCCCGTGTCTGTGGGCTGTGACCACCGCAGTCCCCCTGTGGCTGGCGCTACTCACACCTGTCCCCTCTGCCCGCAGGGCCCGGCTGCGCCCACGGCAGGCCCCAGGCCCTGGGGCCGCCTCCAGCACTGGCTGCACCGGCTGCAGGTGGCCCCGAGGAAGGTGAGTGACCAGGAGGGGGACTGGTGTCTGGAACCAGCTGGGAGCCCAGACTCTGGACAGCCACCAACCCATCCCTTCCTCCCCACAGGAGTCCCCGGGCTGCCTGGAGGCCTCCGTCACGTTCAACCTCTTCCGCCTCCTCACCCGGGACCTGAAATGTGTCGCCAGCGGACACCTGTGCGCCTGACCTGCCACTTGTGACCACTTGCCACTTGCCCTGGAATCTTAGATTGTATTTGCCTCTTAATTTATTGCCACTTCGCTATTTATGTATTTATGTGTGTGGATTCTCAAACCCATATCCAATAAAATATTTATTTTTCTACTTTCTATAAACTTTGTTGAAATAAACAAGGAAAAGAGGACAGAGGGGTGGGGCGCAGGGGTGCGGCGTTGTGGGTGGGGGTGGGGTGGTGCAGAACTCAGGTGGCCCCGGGGCTGGGGACCACAGTACTAAAGCAGCTACAGGACAGCCTTGTGAGACTTGTCTCATTGGAGGTCCTTGCATGATTGTCACGCTGGGTGGCTTCTATCTGCTGACAAGGAGAAGGGGCTGTCACGGGACTCTCGGGGCATCTGGGAGTGCAAGGATCTCGCTACATCTGCCCCATGTCCCCATCTCGAGTTTCAGGGTCCTGCTTGGGCACAGGAGACTTGCGGAGCTGGGGGTCAGTCTTCCCCGAAGCCCCCAGCTCTGAGCAAGATCTCCCGAGTCTGTTCTCGCTTCCTCTGCTACCAAGACAGAAGCTGGCGTTCAAGTTCGGCCTTGAACTGCTGATTAGTCACCTGAGCCTCTGGGTCACCCCTCAGGGACCCAGTGGTCTCAGGAAGAGCCATCGGTTCTATGGGTCTTGTTCCCTTTCCCCCACGACTCCCCAGAGCCTGGGATACCGCCCCCACCCAGGCTCCCCTCTCCCCAGCCTCACCCCTGCTAACCATGGCAGGGCTCTCCACACACCACCTGCCACCATGGAATGGTCCCACTGCCAGTGTAAAACGAAAAGCAAAGTGTCAGGGCCACCACCCCCCCCTCAATTCCTTATGCAAAAGAGAAGGTTGGACCCTCAGGCACGTGTGAAGACCTGGCCCCACGGATCATTCATTAAGAAAATGTCTTGCTAACTTCCCATAAACAAGGACATGCAAATTGTCCCTGTCTCGCACCTAAAACTGAAGCCTGTCAGATTCCCGCTGTAATGGTGAATCACAAGTTTATCTTACAGGTGACAAAACTGGAGACCAGACAGACCCAGACATTCTTCCACCTGCTGGGGGACATCTACATAATTGATGCTTCCTACACTCCCTTATTTTACAGAAAATGTAGATTTCTTGGGCCTCACAAGAATGGAACCAGTACATCATCAGCCCCCTGTCTGTGTGCCTTTAAAATGCTAAAGGTTCTGACCTAACCCTTCGGAAAAACAGCCATAGCTTGTCTACCATTCGTTCGTGTTTTTCCTGGGAGTGTCCTCAAAATCTTGGCTTAATAAACCTCCATTGATTGAGATTTTGGCCTCATTTACTTGGGTCGACACCAGGCAACTAGCAAGTGACCCCATTGCAGAGGCTCTTTGTACAGTCCACCCGCCAGGACCACTTTTGATGCAAACGCTCTGAGATTCCATTCCCCGGAAGCGCCTGAGACAGAACTTTGGGAGGAAAGGTTGACTGGGGAGGGCCCTTAGGAGACAAGGTGACCCGGTGCGATGCAGCAGGGACTGTCGTCCACCCTACGGTGAGCTCTGCAGCTGGGAAGGCCCATCAGCATTGTCCCAAAGTGCAGCCAGAGACTCAGGCTTTGGTATGTCTATGTGGGGCCACCACCGGCCATGGCAGTCCCCTGGGAGGGGGACTGAATTTGAGCCAAGGCAGTTAGTTCTCCCTGGGCTGCTGGCACTTCCCACGAGGGCTGTAGCCGGGAGCCATGAGCAGCCAGCACCCCACCAGCTGGGGGCCGGGCATGGAGTCCTAGAGAGTCCTGTCATTGTGCTTACATAGATATTTTTATAAAAAGAGCAAAATGAAATGTATTTCCATTCTCTTTCTTGAAATGAGCCCCTGAATTGTAGAAGCAAGTGCCGAGCCCCACTAATCCCAGATCAAGCCCCCGAGAGTGAGGGCAACTCGAAGCAGAGACTCCGCCGCTGGGCGGAGTTTGCACAGGGGCTGAGCCACTGTGACAAACAGTCCCCAAGTCCAAGGGATACAACCACACAGCACAATCCTCTCCAGCTCCTAGTCCCACAGTGCGTGGTCCCGTTGGCAGGACGGCCCTACTCGGCCACCCGGGGGTCCTGGGTCCTTCCAGCTTTGTGTGCCTGGGTCCCCTCGGGTCGCCTCCTTCACCTTTGTCACACCCTGGACGTCACAGCGGCAGCCTTGCAAAGCCTGTGGGTCCTTCTCAGAATGAAAGAAAATACACGGGACAAAGGAATCCAATTTTTTTGTAACGCAGTGATCACAATATTTTATCATACTGTGATATCGTAATTTATGTGCTTCCTCATTAATGCATTAACTAAAAAATCACCCGTGGCAGCTCTAATAACTACTGTGACTTAGAAGCAGAGATGAGGGTAAACGCTATTTCAAGATGCCTGCTAGGAGACAATGTGATATGAAAATGTCTGTAATTTCTTTCGGTGACAAAGTTACAAGTTCTACTAATGCAATTGTGGTGGGTTGCCTAGATTTGTAGTAGATTTGTGGTAGACCGAATAGTGGCCCCCAAAGATGTTCTTGATCCCTGGACCCTGGGAATGTGTTCCATTACATGGCAAAAGGGACTTTGCAGACGAGATTAAGTTGAGAGTTTGAGATGGGGACATTGTCTTGGGTTGTCCAAGTGGATCAACGTAATCGCAAACGTCTTCATAAGAGGGAAGGAAGAGGGTCAGAGTCAGTAGGGGGAAATAGGACAACAGAAGCAGGAAGTTAGAGTGATATAAGGACAGGAGCATGGGCCAGGCCCGGTGGCTCACGCCTGTAATCCTAGCACTCTGGGAGACTGAGGCAGGTGGATCGCTCAAGGTTAGGAGTTCGAAACCAGCCTGAGCAAGAGTGAGACCCCGTCTCTACTGAAAATAGAAAGAAATTAATTGGCCAACTAAAAATACATAGAAAAAAAATTAGCCGGGCATGGTGGCGCGTGCCTGTAGTCCCAGCTACTCCGGAGGCTGAGGCAGGAGGATCGCTTGAGCCCAGAAGTTTGAGGTTGCTGTGAGCCAGGCTGACGCCATGGCTCTTAGAGCGAGACTCTGTCTCAAAAATAAATAAAAATTAAAAAAAATGAAATGTCCAATTTCGAATCAAAAGTGTAGTTTATTACATCTCAGACAAGAAGCAGTACAGTTAGTCGAAGCATGCGCCGAAACCGGCCACACAGTGTTGCCATCTTAACGGTAGCTTGTTTGTGCCGGCAGCAAAGAAGCCTGGAGAGCGAGTGGAGACGAAATCGTGAAAGGCGTTTTCCACGGCTTGTTGAGAACTGAATACTTTTCCTTGCAAAAAGTGGTCCAAAGCCTGGAAGAAGTGGAAGAGGTTCTCTGGGCGCCAGGGAAGCAGCCAAGCCAGCGAGGGTGGGTGGCGCGGGGCTGCAGAGGGCGCTCATAGAAGTGGGAGCTAGGCAGCACGCCCTCTGCAGGGGCCCGCACGGGGGCCATGTAGGGGGTCATCAGCTCAGCCCCGTGTCCCCCGCGCCAGCAGGAACACGCTGGGGCTGGGGAGAGCAGGTGAAAGCAGTGACCAGGCAGGTCACAGGCTCAGACCGCCTCAGGCGCCCGGATACGCTGCTGCGACCCGAGTGAAAAGAGAAATGATGGCGAAAGCTGTCCCCTGCAGCAGCGTGACCCTGGAGGAACCACACAGGGCCTAGCAGTGCAGAGGACGCGCGCCCACCTGCCACCTGCAGCCAGCAAGGAGGGCCCCGCCCCCCTCCGCTGTCCCTCCGGCGCCCTCTACTGGCCAGGTCCCGCAAGTTTCTGGCCGGCAAAGGGGAAACACGTGCAGGGCGTGGCCCCATTAGCAGACAGCCCGCGAAATGAGTGAGGTCAGGGGTCAAGAAGTGAATGCACCTGGGAAGTAATTCTGTAGCCCCGTGACTTACAGAGGACATGTGACCTGGGATTCACCAATCAGGTGCATCCACAGCAGCTTGGCTTCCAACGTGAGCCCCAATCCCAGCTGGAATGACAACGCACGTCCAAAGAAAAACTTGTACCTGAATGTTCTCAGCAGCATTATTTATAATAGCCAGTGAGCGGAAACAAGCCGAAAGTCTATCAACTGATGACTGGATAAACAAAATGTGATCTATCCATACACTGGAATATTATTCAGCCAGAAAAAAGGGAAATTTTGATACATCCATGCTACAACATGGCTGAGCCTGGAAAACACTATGCCAAGCAAAAGAACCTGGACACAAGAGACTACATATTATATGGTTCAAATTATATGAAATATCTAGAATAGGCAAATCCATACAGACAAAAGTAGATTAGTGGTTATCTAGTGCTAGGTGCAGGGAAAGGTTTGGGGTGGTATGGGGTTTGGAAAGGTATGGGGTTCTTCTTGGGATGATAAAAAATATTCTAAAATTGGTTGTGGTGATGCCTTAGCAACTCTGTGACTATCCTAAAACCATTGAATTGTATACTTTAAGTGGGTGAATTATATGGTATGAGATTTATATGTCAATGAAGCTGTTACCAAAAAAATGTAACGTAATGTCAGGTGGCGAGAAGTTGTACAGAATACATAGACAGACTTGAGTGTGAAGTGGCTTTGCCACTTACAAATCGTCTGACTTTGAGTAGGTTGCTTTGTCTTTCTGACCTTAGTTTCCTCATCTATAAAATTGGAATAATAATACCTACTTTGGCTGGGCACAGTGGCTCACGCCTGTAATCCTAGCACTCTGGGAGGCCCAGGCAGGAGGATCGTTTGAGCTCAGGAGTTCGAGACCAGCCTGAGCAAGAGCGAGACCCCATCTCTACTATAAATAGAAAGAAATGATGTGGACAACTAAAAAAAATATATATATATATATTTGCCAGGCATGGTGGCACATGCCTGTAGTCCCAGCTACACGGGAGGCTGAGGCAGGAGGATCACCTGAGCCCAGGAGTTTGAGGTTGCTGTGAGCTAGGCTGACGCCACGGCACTCTAGCCCCGGCAACAGAG